GGTGTAGACAATGTCTGGACGATTTGGGGACGCAATGTGTGGCTGCATGGTTTGGACATATGTGTCCCGGGCAATTGCATGTTGGGTGGACAGGTGATATGACGAGGTCTTGCGCTTTCCACGTTTGTACCCTTGTTATTTGAGAAAGCGTTGTCCCCACGAAGTGTGGCATTGTATTGTTTCTAGTTGTCCGGGTCCACATCGCCACTAACATCTCTTTCAGGTATACCATGACATCAACCCCAGTCGTCAATGTGCCGGAAGCGCGACGGTCTCGAACAAAGGCTTGTACCAATTCAACGACTTGCTTTGTTCGAGGAACAACGGTGCTGTGCGTTGATGTATTTGATGGTGGAGGGACAGCACGTATTGAACGATTCAGCAGGTATTCACGTCAAACATCTTTGACAACCCCAAGGTTGCGCCATAATTCTTCTGCGACTTTGGCTGACGCTCCTTTAGAGCCTTGGCAACACAACCAAGCATGAAGACGCAATATGTCCTATCGCTCCTCTCGGGTATCATGCCGGCGTCGAGAAACTCGAACGAAGTCGAAGCAGTCATCAATGGCTTGATCCATAGCAAGGAAGGTGTAGAATGCACATGCAAAGAATCATGAAGCTATGACATCTATTTTGGCTTACGGTGTCGACTATTTTCATCCGTGGCAGTGTATAAATACTCAAGGTATCCAAAGATGAGGGATAAAAACCTCTATAAATTAATATCCAAAATTGATACAGGTGATGAGGTTCCTGGGTGATAAATTACATTCATTTTGGTCTGTCATCGAATGCTTCTGGAGATATATTCATTTTTACAGCAACCGGTTTATACAGTGATATGCGCAGATGGAAGCACAATCTCATATACAAAGTCCCATATCAAATGGATTAGAATTGACTGAGATAACGTTATCACAAAAAGACTGTTAGTTGGTGTCGTCGACTGTAAAATAGATACTGATCTCCCCCCTAAACGAAACCGAGCATTCCATGCGATTTCTACAGGTTATAAATAATTACAGGTACTCTGGTAAAGTTATTTCCGGAACTGCCGACAACCAATTACTCCAAATTCATTACTGACATGTTCTAGTAGTCATTGTCCAATATGCCGACGCGGTTCCAGCAGTTGACAACTGTCGATTGCGTCACAGATCGCCACGCCTCTTTGGCCCATCCCATGGCTTCTACAAGAGGTACATCATACAGATTTGTTTGACGTCCTGACATCACGTTGTCAATTTGGTCCAGGGCATTCTGCAACTGCCGCTGCTTAAGCTTGGCCTTGAAGGAGGCAATGATGCCTGCGTCTTGAGGCTGCAGATGTGCAGTTGTATTCTTCGGGAGCATCTTGACCTTGACATTTGATAGATGCACATCTTCGTCCACTTTGTGGGACGGCGCGTTGTCGATCAACATGAAGATGTTGCGACCCTTGGTAGCCATGCGGTCATCCAGGTTGCGCAAGTACGAGGTGAAGAGACTACTGTTCATCCAGGCTTTCTTGCTTGACATGTAGTTAAAGCCCAAAGCACTTGCGGGAGCACCATTGAAGCAGCGTGGACGGGCAGCCGACCCGATGAAAATCGGTCAACAACGTCGGATCCGTCGGCGTTTGTGATAAACGCAATCGTGATGCTGTCCTTTGACTTCTTTGTTCCAGGCACACGGCTTCGGGTGATAGAACGGTGAGGAGACATGCGATAAAAGAAAGCGGTCTCAGCCATGTTGTAGACTTCGCTTGCGTTGAAGCCTCTGGTGATGTTGCGGACGGCGACACGACCGGACGCTACTGCTTCGGGTGGAACTGACGCTGCCTCGCCGTGTTGGATCTTGCTGGTAAAGCCATGACGATGTTGAAACTTGTATAACCAACCTTAGAGAAGCACAGTCTTTGGTCAAGCGGTACTTGAAGCTGGCCGCAGACGATTGTTGCTTGCTTGCGAACGAGCTCGCCGTTCAAGCACACGCCGAGTTCTTCGCATTGGAGAACCCACTGTGCGACGGATTGTTCGACCTCGGGCATCATCACAGAACGATCAGCGCTTCTCGCCTTGTTGTCCGCTCGCTTACTTTGCGTGGCGTGCCGTTTAAGAGCATTACAGATCGTTGATTTAGTTGACGTGCTTGTAAGCACAAAGGCTTCTATTGCCCAATTGACTAGCTCGGTGTATGTTGAGGATGGATGTTGCATGTGATGCACATACAGCTCATGCTTCTCACTCAAAGTCATGCGCGCCTTCATCTTCGACAAATGTCAAAAATTGCGTTGTTCCAACATCCTTGAATGTTTGAAAATTCAAACTGACTTTGAGATTTGATATATAGAGTTTCAGAATTTATTTGCTTTGACCCGTTTCGATTAGGGGGGGGGATCAGTTCGTAAATCTACGCTAAATAAAATTGTCGGAGTTTCTTCGTTGTGTAGGCGCTGATTGTGAGCATGATCCAGACCGGCGGAGGCAGGAGCGCGATCCGCAGGACACTCGTGTTGGGCGAGGAGCCGGAGAAGGCGACGGAGAGCCATCTGCCCGGGCTCTTGAACGAGGCTGTGGTGCAAGTGCATTTGAGCGACACGCGCCGCCTTGACGGCAATCGTCCATGGACTTGGCATTGGTAGGTCGGCGCGAAAGACGCGATCGTTTCGGACGCGCCAGACGTTGAACCATACGCAGGCGCGGAGCACTGGCCAGAGATAGCGGAACGCAACTCGGTGCGTGTTGGAGGCCGTCTTCGGCGTCGAGTAAAGGTAGCCCGAGAGAGTTGTCGGCAAGACTACACCCAATGGGGCCGTAACCGCATGGAGCGTGATCCACACGTCCTTGATAAAGTCGCAGTCCACGAGGAAGTGGCGGTACGTCTCGTTCTCGGGTCAAAAGAGACACGCTTGGTCGGCCCTGTTGAGCCAGTGCAAATGAGCGCGGAACTTGACGGCGCGGAGCATCACTTGGTAGACGAAGTCGGCGTACTTGGGTAAGATGGCGTCGGGTAGTCGGAGCTCGGCAGCGGAGGCGATAGCGGCAGGCGTCTTGTAAAAGTCGTCGTCGACGTCCGATTGGCGGGTCGGGAGCTGGAAGTTTGTCCTTGGCGGGGCACGGCTGCGGCGGGCTTCGGCCGGTGTCATCTGGGTCAACAGCCTCGGCGCGTTGTGCAGGCGAACCAGCCATGGAGGCTTGAGAGTCGGGCTTGGCAGTGGGCCACACTTCAAGGCGTCCACCGTCGTTGCAAGCCAGCTGAGCCTCCGAGCGTTCGGCGTCACGTGTGGTCCGAGGGCTCTGCTGCAGCACTTGTCGTTCACAGGTTGGATGAGGCGTTGAGTTCTTGTCGCGAGCGTCTCCGTCGGGGCGTCGGTGAGCATCAAGGCGTGGACGTGCTGAGCTTGGGTGATTCCGATCTTGGCCATCATTCGTGTGTACCGAGTGTGCCATCTTGTGGTATTTTCTACGTAACTACTTCTATCTACGGGAAGAAACTGGTTGGACCAGAGCGGTTGTGCGTGGACCAGCGGCGACGGCGCCGGGGGAGTGCTGGGCCCCACGCGCATGTCGAACCAGTAGTTGAGCATGAACTGGAACCGGCCGGGCACTGCCGACGACGTGAGCAGACGCCGTATCCTGGGAAGCGTGGGGTCAGCAAAGGCGAGGTCGGCAAATTTGCCCCACGGCGCGTAGGCGTTGGCGATGACGGCCATGCTTGGCGACGACCAGGCGGGGTCCGGTGACGTTGTAAGCACGGCTTGCAAGAACCGGAGCTTCAGCGCACGGTAGTACGAGCCGCGCTCGATGCGATGCTTGAAGGTGGGCTCGGCGTCCCGTATGATGATGGTGAACACGTATTGATTGATGTCCGCCGGGTTGGAGACAAAGGCGCGGGCGTGGTGATCGAGGCTATCGAGCGTGTCGTCCGAGACGGGGTGCATGCCGACCGAGCGGAAGCTGCGGAGCGAAGTGCCTTCGGGGACCTTAAGGTCGATCGTCGGCGCCTTGGCCTTGCGGCGTGGTCCACTGCTGGTTGGGTTTCCTTGGGTCCGGGGGTCACGGGGGGGATGGCCTCCTTGACGCTGATTGGTCGAGGTACAGTGCGCGCAATAAGTATACGACATGCATAATTTCGTGTCATGAGTGGTTGCATGAGCTCGAACTTGGATGACTGTCTTCTACGAACAATATTTGCGTGCTTTGAACGAGAATCGTTCAAAGGCAGCACTGAGTTGCCGATTCAAAGCAGATTTGACCTTACGCAGTGCGCAATATTTATACGTCATCAAACAAAAAATGAACGTGTACAGTTCAATTGACACAAAATCAAAGCTAATACTTTGTAATAGCGCCCTTGGATTGCAGCACTGCCACACAACGCCTGGGCATGCTCCAAACGAGGTCATTCAAAGTGGAAAGACGAATGACGAATTTGAGACCAAGCCAGCAATATGGCTGCTTTCAGTTCGCCTACGTGCAAGTACTGCTTACCATTTTCATACACCTTTCGGGCAACTATGCCCCAAAGGTTCTCAATTGGTTGAGATCCGGCGATAACGCTGGATGCTCGAAAATTTCAACTTTTTCCTGCTCGAGAAACTCGACCGATTCCTCGGGCTTGTGGATCGACGCGTTGTCTTGTTGGAAAATGAAGTCGAGGCCGTGGTTGAAGTGGGCGAATGGAAACAAAATATCTTGGAGTTTCTAGATGTAGTGGTAGGACTTTTGTTTTCCAATTTCGGACGTCCCGCGGGATGAAAACGCGGCCCAAATCATGACGCTCCCACCGTCGTTTCGTCTTTGACATGAACGTATCTGGATTCCGCGCAAGGTCATGCCAATAGTACTGCCATCCATCTGGACCATCCAAATTGAACTTCTTCTCATCAGACCAGATGATTTTATTTGAGTCCAATTTGGAGGTCCAGAAAGATGGCGCGTAGCAAAGTCCAAACAGCTTGCTTGTGTAGTTCCGTGAGCGCTGGGCTTGGCTTACGCTTCGCGTACTCGAGACGCTCACTCAATTGGAGATGGTGCTGAACCGTACGCAATGACACGTTCAAGTTGAGTTCTTGTTTGAGCTTGCTTGCTGACATTCCAGTTTTGCAAGCTTCTCGGATGAGCCTCCGTTACACCAATTGCGTCATTCTGGGAGATCTTCCGGGTCGTTTGGTGGTTCCATGCTTGTCTGGATTGACACGATAGGCTCGAATGACACTTCGGGACCTGCCAAGCATCCCTGCAGTGGTCGCGACTGGGACTTGGTGCGGCAATCTTGCCCTATTCGAATTCGTCGAGTTTCGAGCCTCTGGGTATGGGTTTGACGTTTGATTGTCGTTGATTCTACATGTGTGTGATGTTTAGACATAACAATGATGCACGATTGACAATGTGTCTGTAGTTATAACCTGTTGTAGCGAGCTGGCGTATACTTCTTGCGTAGGTTGGACCAGCTCACGACTTGCTTCGGCACGATTTTGACATGCAGCGTCTAAAAATTGGCGCTTGTGGATTGCCCAATGGAAAGTATCCTTCGATGAATAATCGTCGTTAGACAAGGACGATTGGATGAAATGAAATTTTGATTTGGCGCGATGGAGTATATTTTTTGCGCGCACTGTAGGCGGAGGGGTCCCGGTCTGGGCTTGGTTTGCGGGGGTGGTGGGGCGTGCCGGCATGGTTGGAAGGCTGCGATTGGTTGGTGACTGGCTTGAGCGGTACAGGGAAAAAAAGAAAGTCGTCCTGATCTTTCGTTTTCGACTGCTAGTGTGACTTGCCGACACCCCGAGAATGCTGTACCGGCCTACTTTGCGGCAATCGTTGCCTAGACGAGATACGCCAACGTTGTGGCCAGAGCAATGAGGCGGCAGAGGAACGCGTGGTCGCAATTGCGGGGAACATGCGGCGCCTCTTCTCTGGACATCGAATGAAGGTTATTTGTGAAGCACTACAAAATCTGTGAACCCGTCACACAGAAAACACTTACCATGGCTCTCTCCATGCCCTCGAGAACGACAGATCAGTGTACATCGGTCAGATCGTGGTCGAGACGTGAACTCCGTGGCAGGCATGCCGGCTCTGGTGTCGGCTCTTGTCTAACTACCCCCCCTTATTTAAAGAATCTTAAATAAGGTCAAAATCATCTATACCGATCCAATATCACAACACAA